CACGGACAACTGGCAATTCACCAGCTTAAACAAAGCCAGAAAATTTAACTTAAATCGACAATACGAGAAGAATTTTTGTTATTATACGGCGCCAGACTATTCAAATGTATACCCTTGTACAGTAAAACAACTTTAAAAAAATGTCTTTTATAATCAACTTCTGATTTATGACCGGAATAAATGAACACGACGAGCTAGTCCAGAAAATAATAAATGATCATGAAAAAGCATAGTCCATTTCTCTACATAATCTACGTTTCAACTAAAAGCGACACAGAATTTATCCTTCTTCGTCCGTATCTCTCGTGTACCCTTTCCGAAATGAAAAATCAGAAAGGCAAATTTATCCTAATTAATCCCAGGATAATTTTTTCTACGCTTTATTGGAGTCTGGTATTTACTGTGCGATTTTTTTTAAAGATCTTACTGTGCCTAACATGGCAGCTTTTTGGTTGTCGATTTGAAGAAAAAAATGGTTCGATGCCAAAGTAGTCGTGGGTTATATGTGATCACTATGCACCGAGGTATGCACTATTTCGTTACAAATTTATAAAACTATAGAAAACATTTTTTACAAATCTAATAAAAATAATAATTTTTAACAATGAATGAAAAATTCCCGGTATGGCACCCCTAAAGGGTAGCTTTTAGGGGGGGGTACATTTTCAAACGTATAATTAATATCCATGCCCCTGGATCATAGACCCCCCTTTGGTTCTTGTTTTATGTCATCAAGGAGGTTGCCAAAGTCCGCGATCTCAATATGCCATACATACCAATATGGCTTCACTTAAGGTCCGCCATACTTTCCGAAATGTGTAATTTTTCACTGTGTACATGGATCATTGGCCCCATGCTGTTGTTTCGTGATCTTTGTTAATAATGAATGTAGTGATATTTTATTACCTTGTATATTTGTTTAATTGTTTGATTGATGTCATAATTTATTTTGTAAATGTCATGGATCGTTTTTAGTTTTATTAAACCTTATTAGCAAAGGTTTATTCATTACAATTAATAAAACTAAAATTTTCATTATCTATGGATAAGCTACTCCGCCCGGAGAGATTCGATGCAGATCCCAGTTCGCCTGAATCCGATCAGGAATGGACCCACTGGCTAGCTACTTTTGAAAATTTTCTATCATCTATTGAAAAGGCTACTGATTCAGATAAAAAGAAATTACTCACCAACTATGTAAGTCATTCCATCTATAAATTTATCAGAGATTGCGAAAGTTATGATGAAGTAATAAAAACGTTTCACAATATTTATATAAAACCCAAAAATGAAATTTTTGCAAGATATCAACTTTTGACTCGCAAACAACTAACAGGAGAATCTGTAAACCAATATGTACAAAGTCTTAAGCAGTTAAGTAAGGAATGCAGTTTTGGTTCTGATGCTGATAAGAATAGAGATGACTATATACGTGATTCATTCATAAGCGGATTAAACTGCCAAGAATTTTGACAACGGCTCTTAGAAAATAGCACTTTAAGTTTAGAAGAAGCCATAACTCAAGCCAGCGCCTTAGAATCTGCCAAGAAACATGCCGAAGCATACGCTCAACCTACTTTCCTCAATGCCGTCCCTTCACCTAATGAGGACAACACTGAGCAAGAACCTCAAATATTAAATGCTGCTTTAAATTGGCCCAAATGCTATTTTTGTGGTAACAAGAAACATCCACGTTCCGTTTGTCCTGCCAGAGACGTAGTCTGTAAGGAATGCAAGAAGCATGGACATTTCGCAAAGGTTTGTCAAAATAAGTTACGACTGAACAGACCCACAACTGCAACCATTACTAAAGTTATATTAGCCGTCCCCAAATGCCTTTCTAAAACAACTATATCAATAAAAGTTAATAATGTTGAGGCACAAGCCTTAATCGATACTGGTAGCTCCGACACTTATATTAATGCAAATTTTCTTGCTGGCCTTAATCTCAAAGTATATCCTAGCTCTAGCCAAATATGAATGGCCAAAACTTCATTAAATACTAATGTAGAAGGGCACTGTTTTATTGATGTTTATATCCAAGGTTTCTGTTATTACCACTTGAATGCCTCTGTTCTGTCAGAGTTATGTGCGGATGTCATTATTGGCCTAAATGTTTTAGAACAACATTCTTCAATTGAGTTTCATTTCAATGGCTATAAAACTCCTTTACATATAGGTGGGCCCCCTACTACACTCTCTACTAATAAAATTTGTAACTTAGCCGCTGCCTCTATTGTCTCCCCTGCTCTGTTTTCAAATTTGGCACCAAACTGTAAGCCAATAACTACGAAATCGCGTAGACACACACAAGATGACGCCAAATTCATAAACCTTGAAATAGGAAAATTACTTTCGGAAGGAGTAATAGAAGAAAGTCGATCTCCTTGGCGGGCCCAAGTTCTGGTTACCAGAAATGAGAACCATAAAAAGAGAATGGTTATAGACTACTCTCAGACTATAAATCGTTTTACATATTTAGACGCATATCCTTTGCCCAATATTGATAAAATTGTCGGTGAAGTGTCTAAATTCAATTTCTTTAGTACTATTGATTTGCAGAGCGCCTATCACCAAATACCAATACTAGAGAATGAGAAAATATTCACAGGTTTTGAAGCTCAAGGTCGCCTCTACCAATTTTGTAGAATACCTTTCGGAGTAACGAATGGGGTTGCGTGTTTTCAACGTGTCTTAGACCAAATAATTACTAAAGAAAAACTTAATGGCGTTTACAGTTATTTAGACGATATAACTGTGTATGGGAAAAATCAGGATGATCACGATAAAAATCTAAAAATGTTACTTGATATTATTTCTAAGTATAACCTTACTATAAATCATGATAAGAGTTCATTCAGTAAACGTTCAATCAACTTACTAGGTTACCTAATTGAAAACAATACACTGAAGCCCGATCCAACTAGGTTGGAGCCTTTATTCAATCTTCCTATCCCAAGGGATACTGCTTCATTGAGACGTACTGTGGGCATGTTTTCTCACTACTCAAAGTGGATAACGCGTTTTTCAGAAAAAATTCATAGACTTGTCAGCTCTACATCGTTTCCCTTAAGTTTGGAAGCAGCAGCTGATTTTGAAAATCTTAAGCTTGAAATTGCCAATTCGGTTGTTACCTCTGTACAGGATGGTGTTCCATTTACGGTTGAAACAGATGCGTCTGAACACTCTATCGCAGCTGCTTTAAGCCAACTAGGAAGACCAGTGGCATTATTTTCAAGAACCTTATCAAAAAGTGAGCGACATCATTCTGCGGTCGAAAAAGAGGCTTATGCTATTGTAGAATCTCTTAGAAAGTGGCGACATTTTCTCATTGGTCAACACTTTAAGCTTTATACGGATCAAAAATCAGTTTCCTTTATGTTCAATAGTAAACACAGTAGCAAAATAAAAAATAAAAAAATTTTGCGGTGGCGTTTAGAGCTAGCATGCTACAGTTTCGATATTATTTATCGCCGGGGACCTGAAAATGTGGTACCGGATACGTTTAGTAGAGTTTGTGGTTATATTGGTAATAATATTCATCAAAACAACCTTTTCAATCTTCATGAGGCACTGTGCCATCCAGGAGTCACTAGGTTTGCTCACTGGATACGTTCAAAAAATTTGCCATTTTCTGTAGAAGACGTTCGTAGAACCATCTCTTCTTGTCCAATTTGTTCCGAGCTAAAACCAAAATTTTTTAAACAAAGTGGAAAATTAATTAAGGCTACCTCGCCTTTTGAAAGGTTAAATATTGATTTCAAAGGCCCGCTTCCAAGTATCAGCAGAAACAAATATCTCCTAACCATTGTCGATGAATATTCCAGATTTCCTTTTGCTTATCCTTGCTCGGATATGACTTCCTCTACTGTTATTAAGTGTTTGGCAAATCTCTTTTCGATTTTCGGTTTAGCTTCCTATATTCATTCCGACCAAGGGGCATCGTTCATGTCTAATGAACTGAAAGAATATTTGCATTCTCGTGGAATAGCTACCAGTCGTACAAGTCCCTATAATCCTCAAGGGAACGGCCAAGTCGAAAGATATAATGGAATAATATGGAAGACAGTCCAACTGGCCCTAAAAACAAAGAAATTAGCAGTTTCGCACTGGGAGATGGTTTTAGATGATTCCCTACACTCCGTGCGTTCCTTATTATGTACATCAATCAATTGTACTCCAGATGAGCGAATGTTTATCCACCCTAGACGATCAGCTAATGGCTCTACTATTCCTACTTGGCTATCTTCTCCAGGACCTGTCCTACTCAAAAATTTCAGACGCCAAAGTAAATGTGATCCACTGGTGGAAGAGGTACAATTAATAGAAGCTAATCCTGAATACGCACAAATCAAGTTCCCAGACGGAAGAGAAAGTACAGTTTCACTTAGACATTTAGCCCCTACAGCTCATAAAACTTTGGAACAAAATTTAACTAATGAAACTGAAAAGATGGCTTCCAACGATGATACTAACGAACCCACCATAGTTGAATCACCGGAGGAAACTGAAAAATTCGAAACTTTAGAAAACCATAATGAAGTACCCTCGTTCTCCCAAGAGACCTGTTCCAAAACGGAAGAACGTAGTGCGCAAAACCGTCCTATTCGTTCCAGACGAGCACCTAAATATTTAGAAGACTACATAACAGATTAACGTGGGAAGAATGTAGTGATATTTTATTACCTTGTATATTTGTTTAATTGTTTGATTGATGTCATAATTTATTTTGTAAATGTCATGGATCGTTTTTAGTTTTATTAAACCTTATTAGCAAAGGTTTATTCATTACAATGAACTGTAGAACAACGATTTCAAAACGCCAAGTGGCCGTCATAATGGGGCAAACACGTCATTTTTAGCAATGAACATGTATGAAAATGTGTCTCCTTTGTTAATTTTGATGTCCTAAACAAAGTTCTTATAGCACCATACCGATGCGATGTCGCCAACGTCAGATATTGGCTTCCAAAGTTGTTTCATTTGTATAGGTTAAGTGTATTAAAGGCCCCATTGCCATACCGGCATTTTTATGTGTAGTTTGAAGAATAAAGCACGATTATATCACTGCCATACCAATAGCATGTCGCTAAAGTGCAACATTAATCGTATAATTGGCAAGTCTTCATGCAATGACCGGATGTGATTATGTCCCAGCTTTGTACCGCAAAGGAAAGAAGAAGCCGTTGCAAATTGTTTTGCAGAATGAGGAATTCCAAGATGCTTTTATTAACAACGTGAAGGAAGCTTTTCCGTGCTTGAACGATTTGTATGTAGGTTTCTCTATTATATAGAATAATTAACAAGTCATACATCGATTCGTACGAAACGTTATACATTTTTGCAGGTTGTATGATAAAACCACATCAACGACGTTAACGAAGTCAAATTGGCTCTATTTTTAAAATCGTACATCATGAAGAGTGATAAATAATTAAACAACAGGACATTACGAAACTTTGATGCCTCGACTATTCCAGCATGCAAAGCTGAGTTATATCAACAACTATTGCGAGTATCTTACGTTGCCGATATTTGGTGTAATGCCCATTTGAAAGTTTCAACAGTGCACGAAAATGCTTCCCATCATGGTTGGGATTTGTCTGATGATGGCTATATTTTCAAGTGGTTTGACGGTGAAGCTATGCCAAACACCATAAATGAAATAGTTCTGCAAAATACCAAACCATCGAGCAAGGTTAATGTAACGTTTGCTTATTTTATTTATAGTTTATTTATTTATTTAAAACACTATTATTTTATTTATAACGCGTCACAATAATATAAAATAATATTACATATTTATAAAAAAATACTAAATATATTTATTTAAAAGACAAAAATTTTAATAACAATAATAATATTAATAATAATAAATAAACGAAGATATTACTTTGCAATAATGACTTGAACTGAAATTAACGGATCAATGCATTTACAGAAACAGCTAGTTCTGACGAAGAAACAAATGAAGATGAGGATGATAACGCTTTATCTGATGGCATTGCTGAAACGGATGTGGATGCATTTGACTACAATGCAGATCTATCAGATGACGTTTCATTTTTTAAAAATAAATTTCAAATAAACTTGAGTAAGTACTTTTAGTTAATACAGACATTAATGTTAACTTGAATTCTTTATATACAGGGTGTTAAAAAAAAATGTCACAAAATGAAATGGTGAATAGTATGACCCAAAATAAGCAGAAAAGTCTTAATAAATATATGACCGCAAATTAACGGTTTCGGAGATACGGACCATTTTGTATTTATAACAATTTTTTATTATTATAAAAAAACAATGATATTTATAAACAATCAATAACAACATAGAGTTAAATGAGATGTTCAAATACTGACGTAGCGCTTCCCTCGCATTGCCATTTGCACGACCGTACATAAAATGCATGTCAGCTAATTCAATATTAGTGTAAACAGGCATAACGAAAATTTATAAAATTATTCACCCACAACAAAATAATAACTGCAAATAGTATCTATGAAAAAACATTGGTAGACTCCGATAAGAAAAGCAAGTTTTTGAGAATGAAAAAAGATAATCAAAAAATGATACAAAACACAAAACACTCCGTATCTCTGAAACCATTCATTTGCGGACATATGTTTATTAAGACTTTTCTGCATATTTTGGCCCATACTACCCCCCGTTTTATTTTGTGACACTTTTTTTTAACACCCTGTATACCAGATTATGTATCGCAGTCCTGTAGGCGCGTTTTAATTTTATAATTATTTCATTTTGTATAATATTAATAATTCTCGTCGATCAGTAGTTTACCGATAAACTTTAATGATTTCATCATGAGTGACCTCGATATCCTATAGGTACGCATTTTCAGAAAAATGGAAGCATTTTAGAACATTTTGTCTACCCCATTAGATCCGGCATTTTTAATCTTGACTATGTTTTCATAAATTTCACAAGTAATGACCTCAAAAACCTGTATACATACATTTTTAGAACAATCTACGAATTCTGACATTTTTTGTCCACCATTTATTGTAATTTTTAATTTTTACAAGTTTGACATCAAATTCGTAATCAGCGACCTCAAAAACCTATAAATACAAGTTTGGAAGCAATTCTACCAAGCCATTCGAGAGCATCGCTAAAAACAAACAAAAATATTTTTTTCGGTATGGCATCACTTTAGCGACACGCTATCAGTATGGCAGTGTAACCCCCGCTAAAGTGATGCAACAGAGAATCTTAAAACCAAAACGCCACACCGGTGCCTATTATACATGTTCATTGCTAAAAATGACATGTTTGCCCCATTATGGCGGCCACTTGGCGACACCCCAGAGGTATGGCGTTTTGAAATTTTTCGTGTACAGTTCACTATTAACAATGATCACGAAACAACAGCGTGGGGCCCATGATCCATGTCCACAGTTGAAAAATTACACGTTTCGGTAAGTATGGCGGACCTTAAGTGACGCCATATTGGCGGACCTTAAGTGACGCCATATTGGTATGGTATATTGAGTTCGCTGATTTTGGCGACCTCCTAGACGACATAAAACAAGAATCAAAGTGGGGTCTATGATCCAGAGGCATGGATATTAATTACACGTTTGAAAATTCACCCCCCCTAAGAGCTACACTTTAGGGGTGCCATACCGGGAATTCAAAGTGGGGAATAACGTTGTCTATTAACCCAACAAAGCCTCGGCGTCGGGCCTATGATACATGCAAAAACCCTCTCGGCTCGCGATATATACGTCATCAACTGTAAGGAAAAAACGCAATGTGGTTTCTTATGAAACTAGTCTCTTTTGTAAAACAAAATCGTTGGACCAATCCCACTTTGTGCTTACACGTCGCATCACAGGTTTCCAGATCAATGATGTGCGCCAATTAATATTTTTGTTCAATTTATGTTTCATTGTGTCTACTGAAATAATCATCATTTGATGAGATCTATTGTTTCATTCCAATCGGACCAATAATAACGAAGATATAGGCTAACGCTCTTTTGCCACTTATGTTTTTTATTAATTATAAAACCCATATGATATTTCGAATCACCCCAAGGCCTGTTACATTTCTGTCCACGCTCTACTTAGGCAGGTATTCTTATTTCCAATCAAATCATAATTTAATCTACATTTTCCAAAAGCGATATTTTTGATCCACACCACTGCAATCGTTATTTGATTCAAATAACGATACCTACCAAATATATTGTGCTGAAGCAGACCATTTTGTATATTAAATTTTCCGCACCACTACAATTACTTTCCTTAACACGGTTTATGAATTTAATATTACGACCGAACCGCATCACAAAATACCTATTCCACACTTTGGGAAAATTCGGCGTCTCGCAGTAGTTCTCCTCCTACTTAACTTGCTTCGATAAAAGCAATTTTGCATCGTACATATTTCATTTGCCAGCCAGCCACGCCAGATACAATTTTCTTACTCCTTCATAATAACACGTTACGAACCTTTAAGAGCATTACTACTAAGATGAGGAAACTTTATAGCCTAAACGGACCTATCATCCTGTGTATGAGTGGCCATGTGGCCTTATTATTAAAAACTACGAATTTTAATACACATTTTGTTACATAATATTTTTATAACTTCGTTTTAGGCAACCAACCCAAACATGTTTAATAGACTGCATGTTGTGTGTTTATGTATATTGCAAAGTTTATTTTATAAGAGAAGCTGTTGAAAGAGTTTTAAAATGGATTACATTTTTATGAGAATAGACGAGTACTGCATAGACAAGACAAGAATGATAGATAATGACGATACTGTTTCAAACGATGTTTTATATAAATATATAATCTACTAAAAATATATTGATACTACCTCCGATATATAAATATCAACATTTTTAACTTATTCTTGTTGGATTGGGAATGTGTGATGCAATATTCCATTTAATCGTTTGGTTGAATCTTCAAAATGTTACAAAAGTAAGAAGATGAAGATGCGTTTAGTCAGTCAGATTTTGTTTTAAACATTAAACGTAAATTTAAGGATTTTAAAACCAAAACCGTTAATACAGAATCTTTAATTAAATGATAAGCATAATATTTGACTAAATAAAAATGGAAGAAAGTCGAATAGCTGCTCCCTAGATTGCTTTATCACAATTAATATTAACAAAAATATTTAGAAAAAGAGTTAAGAAGTTCGAAAATTTAAAGTTAGGTAAACAATACGGACACAACAATTTTCGCATATTTTCTTAATTCAAATAATACAGTATTTGCATTAGTATTATGATTAAGAATTAAGTTGAACATTCACAATGTAATGGGGACATTTATACTCGATTTATGATTAGCATTAATATTTATTCTTAATAATTGACATGTTCAACTTTTATGTTAAATCTTAAATTTATTGTTTTCTATCAAATGAAACAATGACGTATTTGGCCTTTCTTTCTATTAGACAACGGATAATGACAATTGACAATACACACATGATCATGTCGTCAGATGTTGTTTATGTTTATTCTCGGATTTATTCATAGAAAAATAAAAGGTGTTTATTTATACATGACTTATACCAGAGACAATTTATACTACTAATACGAGAAATACGACTAATATCAACAGTGTTTACCGAGTATAAAGTTGACAGAATGACATGTCGCAACGTGGAAGTATAGGCATCTTTTCTATCTAATTTTACTTAAATTTCTGCTTCTTTTTATCTAATATAAATTTGAGATATAAATCCGTTAAAATGTCTTTAATTAAACCTATTTTTGAATAATATTTTAAAATAAAATTAACAAGTAAAAATATTAATAAATACGTTTAAAACTCAAATATCATAAAAAAATATTCTAAGAACACAACTGGGGTAGTATTCTCGAGTCACGAATATAGATTCGCATGCGAGATTTATGATTTGTCTCACTTGGTTTTCGTTCAACAAAGTGAGACACATTGTAAAACACGTATGGGAATGCATCGAAGAACTAAGAACACTGGCAGACCGTAATAGAGTAAAACTATTTTGGGTGCCAGGTCACAAAGGGATCGAAGGCAACGAAAAGGCTGACGAACTTGCAAAAAGAGGGTCAGAAGAAACACCGGAACCAGACACAAACCCAGGAGTACCAAAAAGTACAGTCCGGGGTTTTATAAATGACTGGATTCGGGAACAACATATCAACTATTGGGGAAGCACCCCAAAACAGGCACATGGAAAAGCCTTCATAGGCAGACCATGTCCCAAAAGAACTGGAGAACTACTCTTAATGAATAGGAACCAGTTGAAAGTGATAACAGGGTTCATGACTGGGCACGCCCCAGTAAAGGGACACTTGAACAAAATTGGCATGTACAATGGGGAACTCATGTGCCGACTATGTCACAAGAAACCAGAAACGGCCAAACACATACTGTGCGAATGCGAAGCTCTGGATCACAAAAGACAGGCTCTTTTTGGACAACCCCAGGTTGATCCAACAACGTATAGAACCCACTCACCCAAGGATCTGTACAAACTTGTACAAGGTACAAAGGTGATAGAGTGGGTGCTATAAACTAACATGGGGTAAAACACAATAAGCCAATAGGCTTCAGTGTTATTCGGAGACACATAGTCAGACGAGCCCAGGAGAGAAAAAAAAACACGTATGCGAATGTCGGTATTCGTGATTCGAGAATACTACCTGGCCTCTTACACATTTCTTAAGTAACCATGTATTTTGTTGACTGCAGAATTATATCTTATTAGGATTAAAAAAGAAGCACTACACTAATAATACTAATTATAAAACGAGTATAAATATCCTTTTTGAATATTTTGTCCAGTTAAATGCTTAATCATAATACTAATATAAATACTAATAATAAGGGAGTATAAATAGACCTTTACTATTTTACTATTTAACTGCAGAAAAACCAAAATAACCACAGTTAATATAAAAATATTGTATATCAATCAGAAAATAATAGTTATTTATTATACAAGGAAACAAGTATTAGTTAAATTAGTTAATACATTATTTTTTCGACGATTTAATATTGAAAACATATTCTAAAATATCTACCTTTACTTATGTGTATATACAGGGTGGCGTATCCTATACGCGTCGGTCTCAG